GCACTCTGCAGTTTTGAGGCAGAAAGGCTCAGCCATAGCACTGACAACTTAGATTGCTCATGATGCATCTTCTAGCACACAAAAAACACCACATGGGCACATTAAGAAGGTAAAAAACTTGACTTTCACTGGAGGGAATCCTTGAAAGATAATATCTTAATGCATCTTCTAATGTGTTCATTAATAAAATGCACATATATTGTAAGAAATGACCAAAATGAACTATAAGTTGAGCATGATGCTAAAAATATGCACCTCAACTTGCAACCAGATCACCCTACATTTGGTCAAAACCAAAGCCATGCAGCGCAAATATGTGATATCTGGTGCAGAAACACATGCAAATGCATATCATATATGCTTAAAGGTTGCAGATGTGTGTTGTATATAATTATTTTGGCTACATCTGCACCTTAAATCATCCAAAAGTGGTCAAATTATCACACCATCCATTTTTTTAAAATTTGCACAAATAGGTCAAATCATGAGACAATCTCATTTACCACAAAGACTTATCAGGCACATCACTTTAAAAAAATAAAAAAAAGAATACCTCTTTAGTGCTTACACCAACTAATCCAGCACCCACAATGCTTTGCAAGGCATCCAGGGAACATAGTGAGCGTTTATCTTCACACTGTAGCCCGCTCATTTGCTGGCAGCACATTTGTACTTAATATTAGTCCTCTCTCCTCTTGGATTACATTCCTGTCTGTTGTCCAGCACTTGCAAACTTCACTTCACAGCTCAGACATGAAATATGTTTATAGCAGAGGCTGCAAGACACTTGGGATTTAGCATGTGGCACTCACAAGTGACTTTATGGCGGTTTGTTTTTTATGTAATATCTCAATTATATCCCCACTGGGACAGGCACACAGACCCTCAGTGGTGAGTTTATGGAGACCTTATCGCACTTAATGGTGTTTGTTTTAATCTCCTGAGACATCACCATAACATTCTTACAGGCCCTTAACGCTGTGCATGTGTCTGCGGTGCGCAATAGTGATTTTTTTCTTTTTTTCTGTGACCTTATCGCACTTTATGGCATTTTTTTTTTTTTTAAATGTCCTGTGTAGTGGTGGGAGGGGGGTGGGGGGTGAAGTGGACAGCATGACATCTCAAACACAACACCGGAATATTATGGCCATTACGTAACGCAATTTACGGAATACCCCACGGGCCAATTAACGGATAACGATTTTTTTCTCTCTCTCTTTTTTTTTTTTTTTTTTGCAACAATTTCAGTAATCTGCCCGGCCTTGCGTAACGTCAGGGCCCTGGATGCGTTTGCGAGAACAGATGCGCACAGGCTGGCATATCTGGTAAATGGATTGTAAACACGGGGCTGCCTATAGGCCTCGGCTGCCTCAGATATTATTCTGATGGAGAAGAGCCACCTTCTCTCCCCGCCACCTGCAGAATGCGCAAGTCTATAACAGCCCACTGCAGCCCCGTGGCCTCTTGATTTATTGCACTGCACACACACACACACACACACACACACCTATACACACACACACACACAAGCAGATAGCAGCGAGCTTTTGGCATAAATCTTTGCATATTTGTGCAATGGCAGCAGAAAAAAAAAATAAAGCAGGTTGTCGTTGTAGTGGCTGTGGTGGTGGAGGAGGAGGAAAAAGGCGCATAAAAAATACGCACAGTGGCCTGGCAATAAATAACAGACGGCGATTGATCCGTATTGATTCGGATGAAGACGCACAGCAGAAATTCCGCTCAAAGGGTGCTTACCTCCAGCGTTCGTATCTCTTTTTGTGTCAAGTCGTTGGATGTGGCACATTTGGTCCGTAAACCCTCCAAACTAGAAATGCTTATGTCTATCATATTTTGCACCAACTCGCACTGCTGCAAGGCTTTCTGCAAACTAAGATGCTGCTCCTCGCTTTTTGTCATCTCCTCGTTCATAGTTTTGCGAGCAGTGGACGTTATATTTTCCCTTTTTGCACTTTAAAAAGAAAAAGAAAAGAAGAAAAAAGCCAAAAATATATATATTTATCAATTCAGGAAAGAAACGTGGAGGAGCCCACGGAGCAGAGCAACCTGCGAAACGCCATGAAAACGAGATGCTGGAGGTTTAGAGACGCGGTTTGAGCCGTGAGAGAGTCGACTCCATTGCAACAACAGTCCTCGTAGTTCCTGCTGTTTCATCAAGGTGTCTCTCCGGTTGTTGCAGGGCTAAAGGAAAAAAAAATAAATAAATCAAACACATACGAAGATACACCGAGCGGGATGTGCACGGTTTGCCACAGCATCCATCGGGTGCCCCCCTTCTCGTTTCAGATGGATGTATTTCAAAATGTAGAAAAAAAAAAAAAAAAAAAAAAAAAAAAAAAAAAAAGAAAAGGAGAAAGAGAGAAGCTGCTCAGCGCATCGTAAGCACACGGATCGGGGGAAAAGCCTGGTGGTTTTTCAGAGGTGCTGATGTGTGGATTGGATGCAGGTACTCCCTGTCTCCCTTGGCAGCAGCTGCATCCCGGTTCGCTCCCACCACACCGACATGTTTCCTGTCAATCAAACCCACAGCAACAGCATCGCATCGCCCAGGCACCGCCGCGAGGAGCTGCTCTCGCGAGATTACGGCCAAGAAGTGCAGTTGGCGGGGGGGGGGCTTCAGTTTCCAGGCCTGGATGGGGAGCAACACTTTTCACATGTTTGGACCAAAGATGGGAGGATTGTTTCTACCTTCGCTGCATCCACCTTTAAATATCTTATTTTTGTAGACTACACAGTGATTTTTGTGTTAGTTTTCTTTTTGTTGAAAAAGCTTTATTGACAAGATGTTTAAACTCAAAAGCCTGACCTCATTAGATTACCTTTAAACAATTACTTTTTTTTTTTTTTACCTTTTTGGATAAATGTAGGGTTACTGATATTAGCTATGTTGACTATGTTTTAAGAAGAACACTTTAATCATCACTTTTATGCTTCAAAGCGCAATGAAATTCTTTATTCTTCACATAAGACAAGCTTTATTAGGATGTTGGGATCAGAGCCTATAGGGTCATGATCTCAAGCCTTGCTCAAGGGTCCTCAGTTGCTTCATCACTTTCCTTCTGTCTCTGTCATTACTCAGGTTTCATTTGCAACCATAACTTGATTCCTACGTTACCTCATTAAAATATTATATAAATACATCTAGTTTTCTATTGTTTTTAAATTATGTTCTTTATTGTGCCTTATGATGCTACAGAGTTTAGGAACAGTCACTATATGCATTTCACTGCACATGTGGAAAATAGAACCTCTTAAAATCACTTAAAACATAGTTTCTAGACTGTCCTCCTATGCTGACACAACACTGTGCAGGATGGTCCGGCTGCACCTCATTATCATTTTGCTGGAAGGGAAACATTTCTTTAAACCATCACAATCAAATTGGGTGGAGCTAAGCAAAGGATGCTGCAACTGTGTCCCCTCAAAATAGTGAGGATGGAATTGTTTGGGTGGAACATTTGCATGCAAGGAGGTGGAACTATCATCAAAATGGCTTATCGCTGAAAATAACAAACAATGCTGCTTTACTGAGTGATCAACATCCTCGGCAAAACTTGAAAATTTCAGTTTGGTAGGTTGCTGCCGGGAGGTTGGATTTGTGATTTCACATAGTGAAGGGGATTTTGAAAGTGGAAGGAGAGGAGAAAGCAGAGTGAAACGCACAGCCAATTGAAGGTTTATACTTGCAGTCAACGTCTGGAAAGTCAGAATAATAAGGGCTTTGCTCAAGGGTAATGGCTGCCTTATCACTCTTCTTATGTCCTGTTAAATGTTCAGGTCTCACTCGCAAACTTGATCTCAATCAGGCAACCTCATTAAAGTTTATACATCAACAAAACCAGGTCCTACGAGAAAAACTACATCCACCAAAAAATAAAAATGGAATATTTCCAAAATTCAAATGTTGCATTTTAAATTATCATGCTTTACAGAAACTTCCCATTTCCTTATTGGGGAACCCAGGGATTAGAATGGTTTGGGGGTGTTGAAAGAGAAATTGTAGGGGTCCCAAGATGTGTAAAGAGATTAGAAATCGATTAAACATAGGTTTTTGTTACACACAATTATGGTGTTTTTTTGTCTTTATTTTTATTGCTGTATTTTCTTTTAAAATATTGGATATTTTAGCAACTTCACTCCTTAAAAATCTGTCAAATTAAGTAATCTGAGGAGGAAAAACACACAATGTATTATTAGTACATCAAGCTGTCTCTGTGGCACGTAACCTTTTTGACTCAACAAAAACCCTGCAGCATCTAACTACTGTGAAACTATTACAGTGCTGACATTTAGCAAAAACACAGACACGCACAAACCTCATGTCACTAATCTGTGATGAGGCATCACGACGGTGCTTCATTTTAGGTGGGTCACAGGCAAACACTAAAGATGTTAGACACTTCTCCTTCAAGTTGTTGGGTGAAATAACATTCCAAATGCAAATTCACGTATTTGATAGCCATTATAGTGCTGCTATCAAGAAAAGAAAAAAGCCACTTAATTGAAAATACATGCAAAATCTGCAGAGAAATGGTTCCCCACATGAATGGGATTGTAGAACGGTAACACATGCAGATGAACGTTATTTTGTGGTTGGCTTGTGTTTCGTCAGTAGTTTGACATTTTCTCTGTGGCCCTTGCAGAAACTTAAATCAGCACTGGGTCCATCTCAACAGAAACACAGACCAAAGAGTGACCAAAGAATGGCTTCAGCATTTTACGTTTAATTATAAAATAATGCATTTGTTCCAAAAATGCATTTGTAAATGACTAGAAAATATATTCACGTATTGCACATAATTCTATAAATGTTTGTGGGGTTTTTTTTTAATACCTTTCATTGCTATTTTTATACCAGACAACTTCCTTCTGCAATGGGCAACATGCTACGGAGACTCCACCCTCAGCAGCAGCCGGTGTGATCTGATTGGTTGTACGTGATGACGTGTGACGCACGTTTTGTAGTTCAGGGCGCCAAACAAGGCTAACAACGTAGTGCCTAAAACTCTGGTGTTGAAGTGTTTAACTCAGCTTAACGTCAAGTTTGCAGTTGACAGGACTCATGGCTTCGACAAGTAAAGCGCCGGTACCGAACAGAAACTTACCCTGGTGAGCTGACAGTCGCTCTTTAGCCCAGATAAATGAACTGAGTTAGCGCTAGCAGGCTAACATGCAGAGTATGGATCCAAGCTAGCTGCGCTCTGCACTGTGTAGCCCTACGTCGTCTATGTACTTACTATATATATACTTATATTTACAAAGAAAGTTAGCTAATTGTAAAACTACTATTTAATCTGAAGTTATGTAAGCTTGTTAATAATTCGGCGTGTATAATATCACATTAGCACATCCAGCATTGCCTTTGTGTCACTTCACCCACCTGGCTCAGCGGAAATGCTGCAGCGTCTAACTTCTGTGAAGCGACATTAAGGTTGACGTTTCCTTTTATATGCTCGTTAATTTTGCAAAAATATGAATGCCGAATTAAAAAGTGATCATCAAAAATATGAAATCTCTAACGTTAGTCAGCGATTATTGTATATGTACTAAAAATTTGGTAGTAAGTTTTACAAAATTGGACAAATTGTAATGAAACTTGGTCTGTAGTTTCCACTGGTATTGAGCAAAAGATTTCGGGGTGACAGGTTGCTTTGTCGTTGTGCAGTTTTGTATGCTGGAATCACAGTAACTACGTCAAGCTTTAATCACGCATAGACTGGAAGTATCTATTATTGATGATTGATTATGTTTTTCTGCCTTGTATTACAGGGTTGAAAAATACAGACCACAGACACTTGATGATTTGATCTCGCACAAAGATATCCTAAGCACCAGTAAGTATGTGCACCTGACATGTACATTTCATATAACTTTTTAAACTCCTGTGTTTGTTTACCACAGTTGTACCAACCGCACCATTTAAAAATAAATAAATAATTTAAATAAATAAATAAATAAAACTCAGGATCACATCACATTCAGACTGTTCATGTTGTTTCTTTGCATTTATAACCGCTTCCCATCTCTTCAGTCCAGAGGTTTATCAGCGAGGACAAGCTTCCGCATCTGCTGTTCTACGGCCCCCCAGGAACAGGCAAAACCTCCACCATCCTCGCCTGCGCCAGGCAGCTGTACAAGGACAGAGAGTTCAACTCCATGGTGTTGGAGGTACACATAAAACATCATTGCATGATTTGAATTTTTTGGGATTCGAAGCTTCTGATATTGTCGGTATTTGATATTGAAATTTGACTTATTTTGTTCTGTAGCTGAACGCGTCAGATGACAGAGGCATTGATGTCGTACGAGGTCCCATTCTGAGCTTCGCCAGCACCAGGACCATCTTCAAGTGAGATCAGAAATCTTTTGGCATACGCTTAGAAATTAATGCTCTGAATGTTTTGTCTTGTAATCAGCAGTTAAAACCTACAAGGGGAATCCTAAACTGCTGACATTTTATCTGCCCTTTTTTTTTTTTTTTTTTGCTTCAGGAAGGGCTTCAAGTTGGTGATACTGGACGAGGCCGATGCCATGACCCAGGATGCCCAGAATGCATTGCGGCGAGGTAAGCCATCTGTTCTCCCGGGCGTCACCTACTGTGAGGCACACGGCTCACTGAACAGCCCGATAATTTGGCTGCTTGTGAATTACACTCTATCTGCTCGTAAACCTGGACATTCATTTAAAAACCAAAACCTACACGCAGGATCTGAACCGAAGCTGGAACATTTTGACTTTGTGAATTTCTTATGAGATTGATGTCATTACTCTGTGCTTTAAGTGGTGGCATGGGTAGAAAAAGGTTAATTGCCGTTGTATTGAGTGTAGCTGCATAATAACTGATTTGAATTTGCCTGCTACAGGGACAGAAGTTGAAGAGTTTCTACACAATTTGTGGCAGATTTTGAAAAAGCTGCACAATTAATTTAAGAATATTTAAAGTGCAATATTGATCACTGAGAACTAAAATTTCTCAGATGGTTTAAAAGCTTTTAGCACATCACAGACACTAAGCAAGTTAAAGTAATCATCACTCCATGAAACTGGAAAGTTGCTTTTTTTTTTCAAAAGTGAGTTGCATCAGAGGACTTTGGTAATATTGTCTCTTTCACATTTCTTAGTTACGTCAGTTTCTAAGTTATATTTTTTTTCTGTTTCTCTCTGTCAGTGATTGAGAAGTTCACAGAAAACACTCGATTCTGTCTCATCTGTAACTACCTGTCCAAGATCATCCCGGCCCTGCAGTCTCGCTGCACCAGGTTCCGCTTCGGCCCGCTGTCCCCGGACCAGATGATCCCTCGGCTGGAGCACGTTATCCAGCAGGAGAGGTGAGCGAATCAGTGGATGTAGGGACTGTTGCTTCTCCTTCTGTGGTTAAAACAATCGAACAAAGAAGGGCTCTCAAGGCGCTTTATAATTATTAGTCACCATAATCTCTTTCACCTAAAACTAGTCTGAAATAAAAGGTCGTTGCCAAAAATGTAGCCATGCCCATTTTGTATACCCAGGCTTTTATGTTCTACTGATTCTAGGTGTGTTTCTTGCTACTGGTTTGGGTTTAACAGGAATCATATTATTTGTTTTATGGCTGTTATTTTTTGGACAGATTTTGCCAAACATTAGATTTCTGTGACTGATGTTTAAAAAAAAAGAAAAGAAAAGCTGAAGCTTAATTTAAAAGAAGCAAAAAGAAAACATTCCCTGCAGCAGCAGTCAGCATAGTTAATGTGAAAAGAGGCCTAAATTTGGAGTAATTATTGAGAAGTGGACGTTGCATTTGCACAAGAGAAAACTTTTCTGGGTCTCATCATTGTGAGGAAAGATGAACTTGTTTATTAACCATCACTATACTTGAGAGATGGTGCTACCTAATTAAGTGTAAAATAAGCTTGAATGTTAGTATTTTGAGTTAGTTTTTTGTATTTTTATTTTATTTTATTTTTTTTATATTGCGTCACACGTCTTCACGGTTTTGAACAGATGTAAACTTTTACAAGAAACAAGAATGATGAAGTTTCTATGAATACATGAAAATGTGACCCTGGTTTTATATTTGTTTACAGTTTGGAAAATGATGGATGTCAGATTAGCATTTAACAACCTCTTTTCGCTGTAGACTGTCGGATGTAGTGGCTGCCATGATGGACTGATTTTGATACAGAAAAAATCTTAAACCTGAATGTTTTGTCTCCCCCTACTGCCAGGGACTGTAATTACACAAACACTGTTGAGGAAACGTGCTCGTTTCATGGCCTAGCTTTTGATCGCTTTCTTTTATTAAAGACTGTAATTTTTCCGCCGAATAGCGAGTTTCTTAATCTGGAGTTTCAAAATTTTTTCTTGAATGCTTCCTCGATTTTTATTTTATTTTATTTTATTTTTTTAGCCATAGTTTTAGTTGGTGTAGCCTTTTTTGTCGCTACGGTCACTCCCGTCTACAGCTCTGGCAAAGCAGTCACACACAGTGCTGCTGGTGTGCCAGTGCAGGAATGATAAGAAGTAATATAGGTTTAATTAGCTCTGTAGTCCACCTTTATAAAATGATTCTCGTCATCAGTTAATTAGTTTCTAACATTTTATGGCAGAAACAAACGTATTTATACAACATAATCACAGTTTGACGATATTGCATTCGAGCTAAAATGTTATAGATGTTGTTTGTGTGACTGGAACGTTGATCCGACAGTCGATTGAAAGAGTGAATCTTCTCGTGGCAGCATTGACATAGATCCAGATGGAATGAAGGCCATCGTGACCTTATCATCAGGCGACATGAGAAGATCAATCAACATTTTACAGGTACGATCACATTCAATCATGTTGTGTTTTAAAACAGCAAATGTATGTGTTTATTTTATATTTATGTTCTCGTTGTAGGAAACCAAAGTGAACTGATTGTGTCTTTGGTTTCAGAGTACCAGCATGGCGTACGGGAAGGTCACAGAGGACACGGTTTACACCTGCACAGGTCATCCCCTCCGCTCAGACATCGCCAACATCCTCGACTGGTGCCTCAACAAAGACTTCACCACCGCATACAACCGTATCCTTCACCTTGCCTTGTTTAGGATCGTTTGCTCAGGAAACTTGTTGTAGAACAATCAGATTATAATGAAGTTCCATTTAGCCTACACACTTTCTGCAGTCTTGTGAAATGTAAACGTGTGTTTTTGGTTTTATTCTGCACAATGCAGAAAAAGCGGAACATCCCAGCCTTTTTATCAGCACCTTTCTTTATTCCAACCAGTAAACCTTAAGCATGATTTTAATGTTTTTCAGCTACACATTTTAAAAATGTAAAACAGTTTGTGTTCTTGCAGTTTCTTAACCTTTACGTCACAGAAATTCTTCAGCTGAAGACTTTGAAAGGTTTGGCTCTGCATGATATCCTTACTGAGGTCCATCTGCTCATACACAGAGGTAAGGACTCTGGAACAGAATATATGTTTGTTTATAATCTGGTACTGTGTTAGTGCTCGTTAATCAAAGTGAGTTAAGTTGTCCTCTATAAGCATCATTACCTGAGCTGGTGAGTCGGTACTTGTAGGTTCAGTCCTTGTGCTGTCTATTGTGGGTTCACATATGTAATATTTCGTCATTTTAAATGGATTCAAGCACCTTTGCTAAGCACAAGTTGGGATCAAAAAGTTCCAGGACTGCAACTACAAAAAACAAAAACTGTACCTGATTTTTAATTTGGCTACAGTCACTTCAAAGTATTCTTCTTGTGCAGTGATGTTCTGCTTCCAGCACTGCTGCCTCCTTGAAACGCTCCCTGGAAATCCTGCTCTGTAAACATATGAAACACAGTCTGCAACACATGTGGGAAGTTGCAGGGAGTCAAATCTAGTGGTTGAATTGTGTTGGTGTGGACAATAGCTTGGCCTCAAGATGGAGAACGCAATTGCAGAGATGTGACAGTTCAGGACAAGTGGGCTGAATGTTCTCCCTCAGACTCTGAGGATGTTAAAGTAGAACTTGGCGTCAGGAGTCTGATCCTGGGAGACTAATTTATAGTGCACAACCCCATGAATGCAAAAGAAAACACACAAGATCGTTGAGGTTGTAAAATTGGGAAGCTAACAAAACTGGATGGATGGGTCTCTGTCTTTCTAAAAAGCAGTAGAGGGATTTGTCCCAACTACCGCCTACTGAATCTATCAGAAGGATAGAATAACTGAAGGGTGTGTCCCACAGCACAACTTAGGTGGGAGTCACTATTTTTAAATGGGGTCGTTCGGACAAAAAGAAACAATAACTTCATTCTCATGTTCAGACACTCAGTATTTCCCAAGAAGGTCAGCTGCTGGTGCTGCCTCCAGAGCTACACTCCCCCACTGAGAGGAGACTTACAAACCTTTACATCGCCTCCCAGCCAGGCCTATTTACAACAGCTGACTCCACAGGTGCAGCAGATCTACCTGACGAGCAGATGAGCTGTGACCTGGGCTGTGTCCGAAATCACTCCCCATGCCCTACATAGTGCACTATACAGGGTGCACGCCATTTTGTAGGGGTGTCCGAATGTTAAGTTACAAATGTTACACCCTACATAGTCACTCAAAACATCCCATAATGCAAAGTAGTGTACAGCCAATGGTCACTAACCAGCAATATGGACCGTCATGCATTGCGCGAAAGGAAATGGAAACGGAGATGAAGGAGAGCGCGGAAAAATTCCCGTCTGTTTTGTTAAATGTTATTTTACCCGGACAGTGAACGTCGCTAAAGTTGCGGCGCTCGGTTGTGTTGTGGACACACAACACCACTTTATTTAAATTGCTTTTAGTTACTGGATCCTGAAGAAACGCTCTCATCTGGTATGTGCAGCAAAATGACAATAAACTTGATTTCATTTGATTTCTTAGCTACGCAATAAACTGTTAATTTGATGAGTTTGTACTACGCTGTTGCGGCACAAATCACGGCTGACGAGCGACGTAGTTAACAGCTTGAGTCGTGTCCGACATTATACTTATAGTGCACTGTAAAGTGATCACTATACAGGGAGTAGGGATTGAGTGGGTGATTTCGGACACAGCCCTGGTTTTGGTGAAAGGAAAAAAGCAAAACACATCCTTATGTCTCAATCTATAACATGGGCCTCTGACCTAACACACCTTCTTGTCTTGGAGACTGCAGCTCTTCCACTGGTGTTTTTCTCTGTAAAGTTTCAGCCATAGACTAGATTCATAGTGAACATGGTGCACATGCTTGACTGTGCCACACTCCAAGGTGTGCAACAAGGCCAGAGTCTGAACTTTTTTTTTTTACCTTTATTGCACCTGTTAAACCACCCACACAGTTTACAGTGGTTATGTAATGGGGCTTGGTAACGTGTAGCAGGAGAACCACCAGATCTGTATGTAAAACACCGTCCTGCAGGCCTGGATTAGTTGATCTGTGCTACCTTATGTGAATGAAAAACATTAGTTGTTTGTGTACGCTGATGAGCCTGGGTAATAATAGTAGCTCCTTATTTAAGAATGACTATCTGTTGATAATTATTTGCATGTTTAAAATCCTGCAGGAGTTTTGTACTCATCAAGTATGTGAATGTTTTTTTCCTCTTCTTTCCAGTGGACTTTCCTGCCGCTACTCGAATGGTTCTGCTTGTCAAGTTAGCCGACATAGAGTAAGTGTGTTCCAAGTAATTACAAATAGTCACGTGTTGACATCCTAAAGGCGTCCACGTGTTGGGAAACGGGGCTTTTGAACTTATGTGTCATTTCCTCAGACACCGACTGGCATCAGGAACCAATGAGAAGATCCAGCTGAGCTCCATGGTTGCAGCTTTCCAGGCGGTGCGAGACCTCGTGGTCAGCGAGGCCTCGTAGATGCAGCAACTGCTTTACTCCCCGATGAAATTCTGCATCTCGAATACAAAACACAGCTACGTGAAGAGAAATATTCTCAGTGTTTAGTGGGCCACAGTCACTTGCCTTTTTACTAGAATTAAAAACCAGCACAGGACATTGCTGCTACTCAAATTCTGGCGGTGTTGTGCTCTTGTTATTTTTCTGCAAGAGAAATAGATCTTTCTGCTACCGACTGACCTGCCTTGGTCAGTGTAACTGAAACCTTTAAACACTTTAACTTCACTCATATTCCTCCATGTGTATGTGGTGAGCAATGATGCCATGAAGAGCTCAGAAAAGGCAGATTTTTTATTTTTTTTGTCAAACTGGTGATTTTGCTGATAACCTCTTGTGCTGTTGGAGAGATGATCAGTAAAATCACCAGTTATGTGTTTGTTTAGAGGGGAAAAAAAACACTGATGTCCTTTGGTGTCCACTGCATGAATGCCCACCACACTGATTCCACAGTGCAGCAGATGTCTGGAACAAATGCTAGCAGCTATCTGAGTCACTCATATCTGCATACAAACTAAGCAAGATGGAAGGCAGCCGTTTGTAGCTCTAGCACCAAAAAAAAAACAAAACAAGGATCCATCCTTTGGGCACTTACTGAAACTATGGACTGGAAAATGCAAAATCTTCTCTGTCACAAGAAACAAATCCATCCTTGTGTAAGAAAAATGACTCTTGAACATGTATATGTGTTTTAATGTTTAATAAAACTTTTTCCTATAAGTCCAGTTTTTATCTTATATTAACAATTAAAATGTGCAGATACAGTAGTTGTGCATGTGCAGTCTTATAATGATAAACAGGAATTAGAAATGCATATACATTTTTTATATTTACACAATAAATTAATAGTAAAAAAATGGTGATATTCAAGTCAGATAATTGTGTGAACAATGAGTTTATGCATCATATTACTCTAGTAGTGCAATAAATCAAATCCTTAGTGTAGGAAGGTTGCATCTAAGATTCTTTTCTACGCTCGGACAAGCTTTGAAAGCATCTCAGAAAACAAAAGGTCGCTCACTGTGACGTCAGCTGTTTAATGTTTTTTGCTTTAGCGTTGATTTAATGTGTCTAGATAATGTTCTTGTCCCACTCCTCGTCGTCAGAGGAGCCACAGGCGTTGAGGCGTTCAGGGATGTTTCTGTAGGTGAGGTACTCGAGGATCCTTTTGGGGAGAGGCAGCGCCTCAATCTGGTGCGTGGAGACGGAGTAGCGCAGGATGGATCGGCACAGGTGGCACAAGCTCGGTATTGTTGTCGGAGCCCTCCAGAACCTCACATGGCCGTCTCTGGTTCTGCCAGGAGGAAAGACCAGTTAGTGTTACGGCTACATGGTGGCTGAGAGCTGGAAAAGACTGAAAAGTGCTTTTACTTGACACGTTATTTAACAAATTAGAAGTGATTGCTGTTTTCAGCTTAAGTTTAAGCCGAAGAGATCGCAGTGTCTGCACTGAATAGTTTCAGTATTTGAACTATTGTAAGTAACCACAGTTTTAGTGATTTCTCCAGTGAAATAGTTGTCATGGTTTGTGCATTACTTTCTGCTAAAGACTCCATAATGCAGTGCTCTGCATTTGGATTATTCCATCTCAAATCATCAGGGGTGTTCTGCTCAAGAATCTGATCAGCTTGAGACTTTTTAAATCACAAAATATGGATATTGAAAATGGTATCAGATTTTATTGCATTAAAAAAGCACTGAAAGTGGGCAGAAGGGCAGTTCAAAATATATATATATATTCTCAAAATATATCATATCAAGCTAAGATTTAACAAATAATTGTATCATTATCCATATTTTATGCTGTAAGAATTTCAGAGATGGTTGAGCAAAAATTGTTCAGTTGTTCAATTGTTACAATTATAAAACACAGTAAAAACCTAAATTTGTTTTAACTGATTGTCACTTATCAAGCAGTTCATTAACTAATCAGTTTGGCTTTATAATTGTGCTTTGAGAAAAAAAAAAAGTGAGAGTTTGCAGCATGTTTAGCAGACAAATGGTCAGTGTTTGTCTTTAATATTTCTCTGATGCTAGCATATTTTTAATTCAGACACCAGCCTCGACACGCTGCAAGATTTCTACCTTTCAGTTCTACAAACACTGTGAGCTTTATGCTGAAATATTAAATTGTGATGAGTGCAGGAGGATTGTTACCCTGTGGCAACCACTCCCCCTTGTGGATGGTAGTTGCAGCAGAGTCCGTTGGAGTCTCTGTCTCTCCTCGTCTCCATCACCATCCCTTTCTCTCCGAGCTGCCAGATCCTAAGAGCTCTGCAAACACAACACACGTGTCTGAAACCGTTCGTCATGCGTGACAAACTTTTGCGTCACGTTACGGAATGTATTAAAAAAAAAACCTCACCTGTCGTCAGTCACTATGGACAGGTGCAAACCGTTGGGAGAGAACTGTATTGCTGATATTTGGTTTAGCACAAAGTCTTCAAAGTAGTCGCTGTGGATGAAAGAAAACAGAGTCGGAGGAGTTTTTAAGAATGACATCACCTCGTACTTAGTAGCGAAAGTCAGACGTTTCCCACAATGTACAGACAATAAACAGGGAGATGCAAAAAACAGATTAGACATGACGTAGGCCTCAAGGACAAACTCAGACACTGTGTCAGATGTAAACAGTGATAGCAGCAGCGTGAGACGGGTTTGGTTCCCAGCTTCAAACTTTTTTCACCTCATTGAAGCTAACGTGCACCTTCCTTTCATAGTTCAGTCTGCAGGCTCGGTGTGAACTTACACCACAGTAGCCAGCTTCTCCGCTGTGTACGGGTCCCAGAGGTCGATCCACCAGCTGGAGCTGCTGACGGCGGCGGCGGCAGTGGCGAGCACCGATCCATCAGGAGAGAAGTCGCAGGAAGACAGAAGGCAGAAGGTGTAATGGGTTCCTCCGACTAGGTTCCTGATGAACGTATACGACCGTAGACTCCACAGACACACCATCTGATTGGAGCAAGAGAACGGAGGGTTAATGAGTCCTCGCCATAAAGACTGATTTTATTTTGAAAAATTAATGTAGTCAAGGCTCAAGTTGCAAAGCTCGAAAGTCGACTAATTTGATTGTCAGTGCCAACAGGACATGCTGAAGCATGCAGAAAACCGTTTAGAGTGACTCTGTTCCTAAAGGCTGCTGTTACACAACGTTAAGCTGTTTTTGTCTGCAGATGAAAGTGGGAAGAGCTCGTTTGTTGCTTCAAATATCTCCAAAAAACATCAAAATAAAAAGATATTAAACTTTCTGTCAGTCAGAAGAAGATAATCATGTCAGGATAAATTCTCCATATACAACCCATTTGTCAAAAAACACTAGTTCTAAAAGGTGATGTTACTTTAACGAACAGAAAACAAGTTTGTCACACCCTTAGAACAAAGAGGTACAAGGATTTAACATTGCAGCGTGAGTGAAAAATGAACCTGATGCTGCATCACATGCTAAATGTTGTCGTGTCTAAATCAGTTTCGCAACAGAGAGGAGTGATCCATTCTTCTGGACTGACACACTGAATGTTTTCCTCTTGCACAACATGTAAACTCAGAGCTATGTCCGTTGCCTTTTCACCTTCTACTGTTGCTTCATGTAAACAGAATTTAGCCAGTCGGGCTGTACTGTTTTTCCCACAACGTTTCCCATCTCCGACAAAAATACACTCGTCAAGAACACACATGACGCCTCCTTCCCACTCCCAGCCTGTCACATGTGAATGACAGAACCACCTCTTTACACAGCTCCAGGCTGATCACAGGGATGGTACGTTAAAATTGCAAAGAGTTTTATCTCCTCTGAGAATGATTGGTGATTAATGCACACAGGCTGGGATAGGAGTGTCGGTATCAGTGTTGGTACACGTCACGGCTTCGTTATCTGTATGGTTTGTGTGGAACATGTTCAGACATGTGAATGCAAATCTCCATCTATAAGGGTGGAAACTGTCAGTGATCTGAGAGGGAATGGGCTGAGAATGTTTCCTAAAACCATTTCAATCTTCATTAAAAACAAGGATACAAGGGCGCTTTAGGACAGTTTATAGCTTCCAGGCATTTAGAATTACTGCTGTTTCACCTACACATTTCTGTATTGCAGCGTTTGGTGTTGCTCTGAATATAACACGATACACTCGTGCATCAACTCACTCTGTCAAATCTGCCGACGGACGCGATCATGCTGCAGTCGGACGACACGCTGCAGCAGCTGATCCAGTCTTTATGGCCGTGAAGCACTTGCACCTTTTTACCTGAAAAAAAACAAAACAATGGTAACTAAACTGAATGAGAAGAAGCATCTTTTTACTCTGTATAAACCAGTCTCTGAACATCGACACTCCTACATGCGTAAACATGAACATCTGCCGGCTTTAACCTCCTACATTAATACAGAAGGTTGCAGTTCAGCTGGACTTCATGGTGATAAAACACAGAAAACAGCTGCTGGCTTCGGTCGATATGAATGCAGCGTGACAATCAGTTTGCAGGGCTGCTCTGCGATGCTTGACTGTGAGCATTTACTGGATGGACGTTTAAGTGGTGAAGTCCAAGGTGCGTTCAAGCATGCTCGGACATTTGACGATTCAGTCAGCTGCAGTAATATGGAAACATCCAAATGTATGTTGAAACTAGGGCTGCAGCTCATGATTATTATAAATGTCCAGTGTTTCCTCAATGAGTTGTTTGGTGATGGGTATAAATGCGTCCCAACGCCAAAGACGACGTCCGTTGGTTTTGTCCACAACCCAATAATATTCCATTTACTGTCATAGATGGGGACAGGAACCAGAATTTTTTTTGAACACAAGAAACCCAAAAACCTCAACCTGATCAATCGATTATGTGACTAATTTCAAAGTTGATAGCCAGTGGATTAAATGTGACATTAGTGGCTTCATGCAGAGCCTGACGAAGCTAAAAGATGCAGTCCTGAAACAGAAAGAGAACCTCACAGGACTGTTTACAGAAGCTAAATTGAAATTTACCCGGAAGGTAAACAACTACAGTTTCCTTCAAGTGTTTACCTATTAAACAGCATGTTTCCATTTTGACACCTGAGAGTCATAGAGCGTTTGTGAACAGCGCTCAGAACCTACACCAAGGGTTTTGAAGGAGCAGTGAGTCCAGGCTGTTATTAAAATACCTTTATCAGTCAGGTCCCAAACCCTCAAAGTCTTGTCCCGAGAAGATGATATGAGCGTGAGCGTCCCGTTCGGAGGGAAGACCAGGTTCCTCACGACTCCCTCGTGGCCGTGGAGGTCAAACACAGGATTACCTAAAGAAAGTTTTAAAAAAGCTGTTTAAAACCAGCAGCAACACATGACATCCTCATTGGAAACCAAACCCTCACCTGTAAACACGTTCCAGATTTTGATCACCCCGTTCTGCAAGCCAGTGGCCAGAAGCAGGCTCCCTTTTGATGACGGTTTAGCCGGACGCGCTGCTGATTTCGGTGGTCTGGGTCCGAATGTGAGGCCCCAGACCGGGTGACCACAGCTGAAGCTCTTGTCTCCTCGGTCGGTTTCCCCATTCTGACTTTCCCTGCAGGTGAGAGGAGCAGCAAGTGCACAAATGGAGGCAGAGTGAAGCTGATGATGGTGCGTTTAGGTGTTTCTGGACATGGCATGATCAGAGCTGCAAACTACTTAACGGTAAGGTCAGTGATACTGGAAAAGTCTGAAGTGTCTAGTTTCATTGCTTTTCATTTTAATGGGAAAAGAGGCGCTAACAACCTCCCCAAACGTTCCCTTATTCACATTATCATAGGCTGGTGTGGAAACTTTCAGGGTGGTCATCAAACCAACTGAAATGTACTGTGTTCACAATGATGGCAGTAAATGTAAATCAACCATTTTCTGATCCAAATCAGGAAATGCATCTTCTCTACACAACATTTGTAAATATATGTATTTAACAATGATACTTCCAGCTATATGGAAAATGTCATTACACTACCAAAAAAAAAGCTGAAATATTTGGATTTTTCAGTCATCCAAAAGGTACTGGTTTGGTGTTTCGTACTTGAGTGTCACGTTGGCGTCAAAATCGAACATTTTAAAACAAACCCTAATAAAAGAACATATGCAAATTTATCGACAAAGCAACAACAGTTAAACCAAAGTGCTGCACAACTGTAGTTTAAAGGCCATAAAGCACAATGACTGAAAGACAAATGGAAATAAAAAAGTCAATACAACGCCACAATAAAAGAAGAAACCGGGCGTCAAGTTCTATTTGAATTAAATGCCAACGAGAAGAGGCGGGTCTTCATCAGCGACATTAAAGTTCCTAAAGTCTGAGTAGTTTTTAGATGAGAAGAAGAAATATTGTTTAAAAGGGTCAGGAGCAGCCACTCTGCTGAATAAGGTCAAGCCAACCCATTTAAAACCCTAAAGGCAAACTACGCAATCTTAAAGTCGATCCTGAAGGGAGCCACTGGAGGGAATCCAGCGCTGGTGTTATGTGACCACACCGAGCAGCTGCAGATGCTGAAGAGACGACGGCTCGTTGCCAACATGCAAAAACTTACTAAGTCTAACTGAGACGTAATAAAAAGGCAGGAATCCTTTTCTTCAGTCTTTTTCAAGTATTTGTGAGAAAGACGTGCGTTTACGTTGGTTAAAAGACTAAAGTGAAAGAAACTACCTCTTCTGCTTATCAAACTTAAATGAGGTGTCGAAATTCACTCCGAGCTTTTCTTTCTTTTCTTTTTTTACAAAAGGTCGACTGTATCAAGTCAAAGGGCCAAAAGTGCCGTCTAGGGCATCCAAAAGGTTTAAACATGAGGATCAGACTGAGATCATTTAGATCCATCTAGGTGTTAATGTTTCAACAAGAGCTGCACTGAGTCTGCACTGACTGATTTGCATATCATCCGCAAAACAGAGAAACCACAAGGAGCAGGAAGGGGAAGAAAATGGGCACGTCAACTCTATTTCTGGTAGAATCCCAAAATGAGGTCAACCATTTAGCTGTCAAGAGTAAATGCTTTGGGACCTGTTTTAAGGGGCGGATGATTCAGGGACCCACAGAGTTCGTGTTAAACAACAGTGTCTTTAAAACAAATGAATACAGGAATAAATACAAACAAACTGTTCATTCAGCTGTGAGAAAACAGTCGAAT